GAGATAAAGTTTATCGCCTATCCATAAATGATGATTACTGCATCTGGCAGAAAGGAAAGGAAGATGCGGCTTTCATCATTCTCCGTAAATTGCGCATTCCTCGCGTTTTCTCGCAAGTATTTCAGCGTTTTCATTGCCATTTTACGGCGACATTAGGCTAAATTAACGCTAATTAAGAGACAAATGATATCATTTCCAGATGTGAAATTCACGCGTGTGAAAGAGATGAACTTGCGACATTTTGTGAATACAAATGCCTCGTGTATGTAACATTTTCCTAGATAGATACGCGCGAGAATAAATAAACAAAGGAACAAAAACTAATTTGTACTGCTTCCGTCGCAATAAAGCAATTCCTACGAATTTCACGTAATTGCGATCCAACTCACGATCAGATCTCGCATCGCTACGATAATCGCTTATTGCGAATAACGAGAGATATATTTCATTTCACTATTTCAAACAAACGATCCCGTAATTTTTTTCGGATTTTTCTGAAAAATCCGTTCGTCAGCTGTTACGGATCTTTATTGTGCACCGCACGTACGTTTAATGGTTGCCTCCCAGGTACTAATTTGTAGTGACCATTACGCGCGAAATAGCAGCAATTACGACGCCTATTAAAGACAAATGAGTGCAATGACTTCTACGAATTAACTTTTGTACTTCTTCGGTGACATTAGACGGTTATTAATTACCTCTCACAGGCTTCTAAGCGCAGTTTAATCTAAGTGCAGTTTAATAGCACGCTGTTAAAACAACAGTTAAGTACGTAATAAGTAAACTAATAAAAAATTTCGCACTTACATTTTTAAATGCTGGCGAAATATCAACAACATCACGTCGCGCGAGGCGGAACTGGTTTTCAGTGAATATTGTTATTTTACTCTAAAAGCTGTTTATTCTACCGATACGTTATTTCGTAAAAAGTATTATAAGAAGCATTATAAACTTTCGAAAGAAGTACTTTACATTTTACGTTAGACTTGCGTAAGTAGTAAAGTAGTAAAGTAGTAAATGTACTTTCCTCTTGATAATTAAAAGATCCGTCACTTACCAAGATTCAGCGGTATCTAATTAAACTTGTCGTGATTCCACCAATGTATCAGTTTACATTGTATTCGTTATTTGTTAATCTACTTGTTTCCAGTTTCATGCTCCGATAGGCATTCCATATCGCGAATCCGAAAGATAGAAATCCGAAAAACGCATTGTACCCCGATAATGTTTAGATCAACTTGTTAACTTGACTTTTTGCTGAAAATCGTACGTTTGTTAGAATCTTCATTTTTCAATCGGTTCTCGCTAAACATTCGTGCTGGTTTTTTTCTAGAAAAGTGATTAATGATATACGCGAATGAAGAATAACCGGCAATTTTCTGCGATAAGACAGATATACCATGGCAAATACTCGATCGAGACACTTTGCACGCTCGCTGCACAATAAGTCAACTTTCACCTCGAGCAGACTGAATGCTTTCGCGTTAAGAGAGAAATCTATAGATACAAAGAGTTCGTGCTTTAGACTTAAGAACTCCGCCTCGCCTTCGCCTTCGACTCGAAAAATTTCTGCGGACGCTCGCCTTCGACGTAGCTTAAAATATTCGTAAATTGAACGTCCGATCGTGCAGGTGTCACGAGTCCCATTCCACATATACAAAACGTTACACAGCTCGCGAAAATAAAATTAGACAACAGATCTCGTCCGGTTTCTCTCCGTTTTTATTACATAACAGCAAAAAGTAGGCGGTTTGCGCTGATCGCTTGCGTAAATATTTTGCATCAAGAAATTTTTTATACCTGGACAAAAGTAAGCAAAGATTTTATGAGTTTTCACTTAAATTTATTTTTATCTTTGGCAGAGTATTTTTATAGAGATGCCATGTTTACAGAAAAATTGCATTTCACATTAAATTATGGTTTTTACTTATTTTTTTACGTTTAAGATCTTCCCATTGGTTGGTATCATCAATAACAGACCACTCTATGTGTCATATACCATTGTGCAACGTTTCGTGTCATAAAAAACGCATTTCCGGGTTCTTTTGCAGGCGCCATTTATCAAATAGCGCTCGCATCGATCTCAAACTTCACTCGATATAATTAAAGTGTCGCCAAAGATATTAAATTACTGCCAAAAACTGTCAATTATTCTCCCAGCGGTATATCTTATAATTGACCCTGTTACTCTTCCAGATTTCATTTCTCATGTCGAACATCGCACTTTCTCTCTCATTTCCTAGTTAAATAAACCACCGGAACACTCCCTGTATGTGAGGAACCTCTTCACGACTTCTAGACACACGCGACTATCATCGGACGAACGTTATTAAATCTGCTTTCAATATGCTCGCAGACGGAAGTATGAGCAAAGAGAGCAGCATGATAAACATATTTATCTGTTATATGAATTTAAAAGATTTGCTTGTTTTGCTTGTTTCGCAGGAGCGATCAGTTAAATTGCAGATTTTATTTTTAATTTTATTCCTTTTGTATAATGTAAACATATTTTATTTTTTTTTCTTTTATTCCTTTTATTTAACACTTAATTAAGAAAAAATTTATGCATTTATGAATATGAAGAAGAATGTAGAAAATATTCGCATCGTTTGCACGATGTGTGCAATCGATTCAAGCTCATGCGATTCTCGTGTCGCATGCATAAATACATGTCGTCGGCACGGTGCTGCCGAAGCATTGGGAATCACGGATGCGTGTACCTCATCAAATTATATTTAAAGTTCGATGAACCGCATTCGCTATTCATGTTCGATGACAAAGAGGAGCGACACAATTTGCGAAATAGACATCGAGGAGAAATCGAACGCCAAGATTATCCGTTTCAGATTACCTTCCCAGGTTTTATTTGAAAAACGCAAAAAATGAAAATGTTTATACGATTCGTAAGAGATTTGATATTCCAAACTTCGCGCACATTCAAGCACATTATGAAATATTCCATTAACTAATCGTTCTTCGCCTTTATAATTTGACTTTCGCTTTATACATTTACTAACAGACGACCAAAAATACATTATCCCATATGCACGATATTGTCGAGAGGAAAATTTTTTACGCGTAGTACATTAACGATATTTTTATATAGTAATATACGCGGTGTAAATATAACGTTTACAAAATTGTCTCATAAATATATCAAGCAGGCGATATTAAAGCCCGTTATACGCAAATTTAATTAGCAGCTCTCCCTCGTTGCAAACGCAGCAGCACCTCATAGAAAGGTAATTTTTAATTATGCAAAACACGACTGCTTTTTTCATGCAATTAGAAAGCGCGGAGAAACTTCCACGATGCTTGCGCGAATGGTGTTACATTTGAAGATTTCGCCGGCGAAATATTCAGAAAAATCGTGCGTAAACACGAGCGTGCTGCGCATCGAGTGCAGAGATCTTGCTTTACCACTATCAACAGGCTCTGTCGTGCATTTTTCCACGGTCTACACGCCTCTCGTCACGCCCGTGTACGATAAATCGCGATTTTATTCCATGTGCATTTTTACGTGAATCATGAACATTTTTTTATTAGAAACACATGGAAGGATTTTGCGCGATTAATTAGCGTTTATTAGCTGGCGAATCGGTCTAACGTAATTACCATTTAAAATTTTACGAGTATTCCGCACGCGGGTATTCGGTCTAGCAGTTTTTCCCGCTTCTTTCCTGCCATTTAGAAAGTAGGATACTCCGGTGACACGTGAGAAATCCACCGCAGACATTAATTTACTAGTACGACGACCAGGGACGCGTAACATTTGTACGTTACATGAAACCGTAGAGTAATTCGAGCTTTTTCTCGTCTCTCCCTTTCCTCCTCCGCTCTTTTCCCTGTTTTTCTTCGATTCCAGATATCTCGAAACCCGTAATTTCGTAGACATCAACGTACGATTCCAATCAATTTAAATTTATTTGCTCAACCAACATCCGTATGTTTGATTTAGTCCAATTAAGGTCCTGAAATTTACTATTGCTCGGTAAATAACGTTAAATTGAATAAAAGTATTAAAAATTGAAACGGCACTATATAATTTTCCTTAATAGGCAAATGAATTCAATCGTAGCAATTGCGAATTAACTCGAATCGATACGATGAGCTCGCAGGCAAACGTTCTTATCGGTGAAGTAATAAATTACTTCATGCCGTGATCCACCAATCGCAGGCGATTTCGCGATTGCCAATAACCGATAGCGCGTGCGTTTATTAGCATAATTTTGCACACGTTGCACACGGGACGATGGACACGGGACCGGATGCAACGGAGAAAAATAGTACATCGCGCCTTATGTAAGACGCTGAAGGAAGCGAAAAAAAAATGCTGAATCCTCATTGAAATTCCTGAGACAGTGCATTGCTCAAGGCAGCATACGTACGATTCAGCGAAGACCTACTTTTTAAACGTGATATTTTC